AATACAGCCAATCATACTATTGATTACTATAAAGGCCAAAGTTACACAAGTTCCTGTACAGTCCAAGATAGTAGATATTCTCAAAACCACTAAACAAAGACAAAAGTAGGGTTAGGCTATGACCACATTTTGACTCCAATAAAAGAAGACAGGATCCTCTGGGGAAGTGCATGCGATAACCACTGTGCATGCACTCACAGACACGTACAGACCAGCTCGGTCTCGGAGGTGACTCATAAATGAGAGGGCATAGGGGAAGGAAAGTGACATGTTCTCCATTATAGCTCAGGACAGTCACGGACATTTGAAGATGCTCAATGACCTTGTATGAAGATGAGAATGCTGACAACTCACAGAGCAGTAACTGCTTATCTTTTACTAGTAACCGTTGTGTAGTTGTGAGACTACGAATGGAACTGAATAAGCAAGCTGGCTACAGAGCTAACTACACCCTGTGGCCTTCTGTTAGCTTAATTAACTTTTTCATTAATTATTTACCTTTAGCTCAGATGGGTTCAACAAGTTCTACATGCTTACCTGCCTGCCTGTCCCACCAGGATTAAATCACTGTAGTGTAACAACATGGCCAGCAGACAAAGTTTAAAGAAAATGCCATCAATACAAATACTGAGGGACTACATTAGAACTGATGCAAATGCAGAATCACACTGGAGAAAGTGGAGCATTACATTAAATCCCATGTTTTTCTGAATACATTACGTCTTCTTCCACAAAGTTCTCTTCCTGAGTAGAGCAGCCACAGGTTACTGTAAACCTGTTTACCAGCGAGCTCTTACAGGAACAACAGCTTAGTAGGTGACATAACACTACACGGGAGAGGGATGACCTTACCAACGCTCTGCTCCCTGGAGTCATTCAAAAATATCACCATGCATGCTTTTCTAAAACCTGTTGGGAAATTGGGTGGTTGCTGTTGAAGGTCAGGGAAGAGGTGTTTTAGTCAGTCAGTACCATGACGGCTTATGAAGTGAAAAGTCTTGTGTTTGGTCAATCTGCCCAACAGGTAAACAATCCTCTTCAATTAAGGCCCCAGGCAAGCGGCCCCACTAACCTAATATGAAACACCAATCCTACCATCGGCCATTGGTCAGTGTCAGGTGAGTGTGTCACCTTAGTTTTTGCAGTGTGTCCTGCACCATTGGCACTAGTTGGCCCTTGTTACCTGCTGCCGATTCATCATGTTGAATTTGCGTCAGAGCCAGTGGAGCCCATTGGTGACTGAAATCACTTGGATTGTTAGTTCAGCTCAGTTAAGGAGACGTAAGTGAGGAAAGTAAACAAAAACCAAGAAGCTGTGAGATCAAATTTGTTATATTAGGTGAGATTATTATTTTTTTTTGCCATTGAGCTCTTCAGCAGAAATGATTTGCAACTTTTAGTGTTAGGTAAATATCCTTTGTTCTTTCAACGTCGGTGTTGTGTTGTTAATGTGCTAACTAGCTAACTAGCGTCTTGAATCCATCCTTTCGGTTTCTGTTCTTGAATGCTGAATACAGGCTACAGCCACCTGATGGTACACAGGCGTAAAATTTATATGTGAGTTGGCTGCTTGTTGCAGTCTTTGTGGTGTGTTCAGTGCAACTTTTTGGCCAAGGCGCAGGCAACATAAGGTGATGCAACTGTTGGCCTTTGCCAACCACTAGTTCTTTGATTTTGGTTTGGTGTGTCTGGGCCCTAAAACAATGCCTGCAGCAGTATTAGCCAATAGGTATGTAAATCAGAAGTTTCATCACGATTCGATATTATACAGATTTGTTGGACAGCAATATGACATTTGCTGATATCACAGAGTCTGCAATGATTTTGATTTTGATTTGATTCAGGGGCCTGCGATCAAAATTAGACAATATCAGAAAGTATCCTTGTTGTCTTTTTCTTGGCTAGTTGCCATTGTCTGCTTGGTGCTAGGTCACAAGCACTGTTTGAAAGTTTAGGAAAGAGGTGCATTTGGACAGAAACTGTAACACAGACGTGCTATGGAAATTTAAATATAAAAAGGCACATCTTGAAGATGAAGATATATATATCAATGTTTTCACTTTGCATCTCTGATTATCAATAAATCGATCCAGAAGAATGTACACACACCCCTCTTAGCCAAGAACCACAAACAGTTGCCATGCTAACAACTACGCCTGCTGCCTGCAGAACCATTTGCCAATTTCCCTCTCTTCCCAGCCGGGGGTATCACCCTGGACTTCCTAGAAGCCGGACATACAGTATTCGTGCCAAGCCATGTGGGTTACAATCAAACTCATCACTGGACTCCAAAAGCTTACATCTGGTCCCACCTACCACAGAGAGCTGGCCTTTTAATCCCCTCATGTGGCAACATGATAAAGGCATGGATTAAAAGATAGCCAGTCATCCAGTCCGTCAGTCAACACTGCTGCCTGACTGCATACTTGCATCAGCTCCACTGCTTCACTTACCCTTTACTGCACTGGGTAAGCAGAATTCAGCAGATGTACAAGGCCAGGCTGTGGTCGTATATCTATAATGCAGTGTGCCATAAGACCCACTATGCCTTGTGATCTATAAATAGGACAGAGGCAACCTTCTGTCCCGGTGGATATACACTAAAGTGGTTGATCAGATAAATGCAGTGACAACAGAGTATTTAAATTAACGTAATGGACTGAATCTGCCTCAGTGTATTTAGAGTGTCTATTATCCATTATTCAGGCTTACTGGTCTGTGCATTATATGAATAAGGAAAAACAACCTTTGACCCCTAAAAATTTAGAGATGCCCTCTTTTAGGTTAAAATGGTCTTTTTACATTAACATGATCTCTTTAAATTAAAATGGACTGCACTGACAGAATATCCTACAAATTGCTCTCATTATTAACATCAGAAAAAACGTTCTTATTAAATATAAACAGAGTGACTACATTTAATTTCAAATAAAAAAAATATACACCAACTATAATGACAAGTTTACATTACAACATAAAATCAACTGCATTTGTTTTAAGATAGTAAGCCTTAGAGAGCCATGAAAAGTACATGTTTTAAAAAACATTGATGCTACTTTATTGAATATTTTAAGTTTAATGATGTAAATGTTGTCACTGACAGACTAGCCAAATACTAGTTTCTTCTTCTTCTTTCAAGAGATACATGATGACAAACTTATGATCATGAAATGTTTTACCAAATAAAATAGTAATTCTGAAATTAACTTTTTGTACCATGGTCCTGTACGTGAAATTGGTCTCCTCAATAATCCAGATGTGGCTGTTGCCATCCGGTACATCCCAGTTCAGGCCGTCCACCAATTGTGGATCAGCCTGTTCGTCCAGTGCTCCTGACTGCTGTTGTACTTCCATGTGTCTGCTTGCTGTAACAGTTGGTACGTAAAGCAGTCTCCTCTGAAATGCTGTTGATGCGCAGTCCATTCTCACAATCCAGCTCTGCTCCTATTGGGGTTTCCTCAGGGGTTGTCTAACAGGATAGGATCACTGTCAGTGCATGGCAGGGGGTGTGAGTGGTTGATGTATCCCATCCGACTGGTTTGACGCCAACTGGTATCACCCTGATAAGTCATTCAACGTTTTGGTTTTCCAAAACAAATTAAAACACGCTTAACATGTTCTTTACATTGAAATCACAGGGGGAGCACAAACTGACCAACGCAATGAGGAAAGTCCATTTCAAAACCAACAACAAGCCCATTTTGGGGTTGTTAAGATCACACGGCCGCAGGAAGTCAATGAATCAGTCTCTCCATGTGCATATCTAAAATAAATTAATGCACTGGAGTGACCACAGGCTATAAATTATTGTCAATTGTTAATAATAACTGATCAAAGGGACAGAGCTGGAGGCTTCCTCAAAGAACTCCTTATCAAAAATTTGTTCTTTCCTTGAACCTTGCCCTTCATATCCACTATGGTCCTAATCAAGACTTTGCGAGAGACAAAAAAGATAAGATGCATTTAGGTCACAACCACAGCCAAGCAGTTTTTTGATCCCTGCCTGCTGAGAAAAAGACATGCTAAGTCAGTGTGACCTCTGAATTAAGCCACAAGGGCAGGAACTCCCTTCACTCAAGTATAGGTGATCTAGAGGCTAAATCAGGCTTGAGAAAACTAGGTGACAGGAGCACTCAGGGGTCAGGGATTACAGACTAATGTTACGTCTCAGTTAGATCACACACATTGGGTGTTACTGCATCAATCAAACTAAGATTACCGGTGGATCTATGCTAAGCAGTGATCTGTAAATACATTCAATATACTAACCTGAGGTCAAGCAGGGAGCAAAGGTCATTTGAGCTACCTTGCAGATGCAAAAGTAAACCATTCTGTCACTTGCACCGACTGTATTTAAGTCAGCTTGCTACATCACAAATGTTTCCCAAATAAGATAACGAAGCTGCTACTGAAAACAACAATACATCAGCTAACATAGCACTTAAAGCTCCCTTTCAAGTAACTGACAGTGGTTACTTTAGCTAGCATCATATTCTGTATCATGTGTAACTTAAAAAATGTTCAGTTTATAATTTTTTGTGTAAAAGTTAAGATAACGGATTTTATTTTTGCGACTGATAAATCTTAGCCACACATCTACAAAGCTCCAAAAATAAGCATGAGCTGTGATTTTACAAAGGGAACTACAGCTCTCAATCTCTGCAAAACTTGTGAGAACAGTTGGACACTTTTATCCAGCTACTGGGCTCATGCCCTAAAGATTTAGCCATGTCAGCCTAAACGAAATGGGTACACCTATTTTTAAAACATTATTTAGCCCTTATTGCACCCGCTACAGTGTTATTAGCACCGAATACTGTTATTAAAGGCTTTAACCGACTCAGCTGAATCAGCTCTGGGTGAAGCTAGCCTGTTAGCATCGTCACACAATGCGAGCTTTCCCAGGGAGCTCTCATTGCGGCGAGCTGCTTAGTGGTGGTCCAATAACACCGAGGGTAGAGTAACGTTAGCTATAGAGGGGGGAATGTTGTCTCACTTGCCTTTTTCATCCGCGGAGCCTCGGCGACGGTACCGTCACGGTTCACAAAAGCCTCTCCGCCGTTCTGCTGCGGGTCCGTCCGCTTCATAGCCGACGCCTGCGGCATCTTCGCGGGGTTCGGGGTGAGCATACCTAGGCTGCCTTCCCCGGCTTTCGCGGAGGGCTCCGCTGGAGGGGTCGTAGCGGCGGAGGAACCGGCCTCGTGCGGGTCGACTCTGCCGAGGTTCTTGCCCTCCGAGGTCGGTGTCATCGGGGAGCCGGCCGGTAAGTCTTTACCGGTGGGGACGTCTTTGAGTTCGACCTCTGCCATTTTCGCTGCCACAACCTGGACTGACATCGCTGCAGTTTCACAAAGTCCTTTTTACAACACAAATAGCGAGTCGAGCGGATGTGAGCGGAGGAGCGACTCTGGCGAAATGCATTATGGTCCGTGTAGTTTCTCAAACTATCTAAAGCTGTCCCTCACGTGCCACCTCCAATACCAATGATAGCCACACACGCAGGTGTACCAAACACTAGACAAAATGATGGAGATACAACAAAACAACTGACATATGAATTTTAATTTAGCTTAAAAGCACTCGTTATCGATGGAAAGACTACATTTCCCTGCCAAAAAGGATACACTGCGAAGTGCGTGATGGGAAATTGCGTTTGTCGTAAAAGAGGTCGACACTAAACTACAAAACAAACGCGATTTATGCCAGATATTGCTGTTTGATCACAGGACAATCATATATAAAATGTCTACATGGTTTTCTTAAATGCAGCATCTTCTTAATTTTGTCCTAAATCCTTAGTTTAACACGTGAACTCATAGCACTAGGATACACTTAATCACTTGTACAGTATAAAGGAATTTCCCAGTGTGTCCTCAACCAATGTTGACACAGATTTATTTGAATAATTCGTATAAATTGTCAGTCAGTATTATTCACCAGTCTCAAGACATTCACTGGACGTTGCTGCAGAAGACACTGCATCACATTACAGTGCTCTGTGCGGTGGATATGCAGTATGTCATATGAGAAAATGGGACCAGGCATAAGGTCACATCTTATAAAACGATCTACATTGCCACCAAGTGGATGCCCATGATAGTCAAAACTATAAAAAAAAATAAAATAAGATGCTTCAACTGTTTCTTTTTAATATCTCAATTTTATTTTCACGTCTCTTGTGACAAATGTAAAATGGCATAATTGAAAAAAACACGGAAGGTTTGAAATGTGACAAATGACTTTTGTAAAAGATGTTATATTCCAAAAAAAAAAAGACTTTGGTGATTCAAAGGCTTTTCATTTTATCTGTCGCATATCAAAAAGAATCAACACTGTACATTATGTGTTGCATCGCAGCCAAGTACTATGGGAAGCTTCACTCCTACAGAATACTTTTGTTTTCTTCAAGTCCAGTTTCTGTAGGTGACTTCAAGCATGTCAAGACCATCCCTACTACAGCAATCATTCAACTATTGGAAAACAAAACATACCAGTTGCAACAGGCCATTGAAGCAGAAGAAACAAAAGTCAAGAACACACATACTGTATTTACATTCATGCTAAATGGGTCCGAGCCCTTTACAATTAACCAGAGAAATCTGAGGTATATTATTTACAAGGCTGCCATGCTGGTACATTCTCAAAATACAAAATCAGAAAACCAAACAATGTTAAAAACTCAGCTCTGCAGTGCATCATAAACACACTGTGGTGCAACAGAAATGTGTCCTTAAAATGACAATACAGAGTGTTACCAGTTTGTGCACGTAAATTGAGAAAATCTCCAAAAATATGCATTTATTGTCTTTTAAAGTTAAGTACTGCTTCTCCAGAGCGGTCCTTGTGTTGAGGCGGTACTCCAGCCAGTGTAGCCACACAGCATCGTGGGAATAAAAATCCACTTGCAGCTGTTTGTTTCTTGTAAATGATGACACATCAGTTTTCGAAGATCCACAGGATGTTCACGCCGGAGAGGCCGAGATTTACTCTCCTGGAGAAAGCATGAAAAGCGATTTAATTATCCTACAGGCAAGGTCAAAGTGATCATTTTAAATCAAAATGCAATCTGCGCTCTGCTGTATGACCTTTCTGTTGTAAATGAATCAATATTTCATTATACACTGTAATGGCATATACTACATGAGCTAGCCAGGGTTTTACAGGATTTTAGTAGCAGAGGTGGAAGTACTCACCCCAGCATCCCCGACTCCTTTGTCTTAATGACATAGAGGAACATGAGTATTGTGTGGAACAGGTTGTTCCTGCCCTGTAATAGACATAAAGATGGGTTCATGTTGTTGCAATCAGAGCGGAACTGCAGAGGAAGACATCATGAACTGTCTGAGTGAGATGTCTATTACAAAGACCAAATGCAGTTGTAAGGTAAGATTCTCTTTTCACATTACAAGCAAGTGTGGCCCAAATCCAATTTTTTTGCTCTCATGTAAAACAGAAATGATTTCTACAGAGTAGTGTGACACAGAACTGGGCCACTTTCATATGTGGTCCTAAATTCAATACATATCCCATCACTGGCTATGGAGCTTCTGTTAGCAGGATCATACTGGAATTCATGTGTGTTTTTCCTAAACAATGGTTTCCTAAACAATGGTTTTTCTACATCAAACTTCACTGCTGTTGGTTGGTGAAACCCTCAACACTGCAGCCCCATTACTCCTGACTCCTCTCACACTCACGCCTCTCGACCCACAGAACTACTGGCAATAGCTGCTGATAGAGCTCTAGCTATAGCGTTTGCGTTCTCATCTTCATCGGCAACATATGATGTATCGTCACCCTATCTCTGCAGCGAATCATTCACAGGATAAACGCTTACAACACTATGTCACTCATTTTTTTTCCCCAAATGCCTGTGTCTCGCATATGTGACTGTGTTTCATGTTGTTCCCCCGTGCATGTGTTGGACATTATTGGTTGCACGTGAGGCATTTCAGGGCAGAGATCCATCCACACTGATGTCAGATATAGGTCACTTCAAACATGAATGTGAACAGTCTAGGCTGAAAGATTGGATCTGGGGGACAAAATCGGTAAATGGACCTGCACTTGTATACTGCCTTTCTAGTCATCCAACCACTCAAAGCGCTTTTTACACTATGAGTCACATTCACACACACATTCATACAGTGGTGGCCAAGGCTACCATACAACATGGCAATTGCTACTCAGTTTTTAACACACTAACTCACAGATGGAACAGCCATCGGGAGCAATTTGGGGTTCAGTATCTTGCTCAAGGATACCTCGACATGCAGATCAAACCGCTGATCTTCCAATTGGTGGACGACCCGCTCTACCTCTGAGCCACAGCTGCCCACTCTTGTACTAAGCCCTGTACCGTGACATAGCCTTATTTAAACTCTTCACTAAGAGGAAAAATCAGAGGATGGGGTGAGCACTGGGCTTATGAGCTAACATTAAGATGCTAAGGTTAAAAAATAGCTATCATTCAGTTTTATCTTTGCCCAAGTATCATTAAATTTTACCTGTGGATCTCAACCACAAGACCCTGTAAGAAAACAACTATTGGCAATCTTATACAATGCTGAAAATCATTTATTTGTCAAATGTTTTGTGCGTTCTGTTGAAAAATCTGTCCGGCACAATAATATGCAGATGTATGTGGAATATTAAGTCTTATTTTTCCCTGTTACTTACAGCCTTTGCATGTTTTTCTGCGTTCTACAAGCATTTGGCAAGTGCAGTCCTTAACAGCGTCAATAAAGAGGATTTGATCTTATTTTGATTTTAAGTGCCACTTTAGAGAGACCTATAAATAGCACAACTTTACAGGCTACAAAATCAGAAAATGGACCTCTCTTTGGATTTGAGTTTAAGCCGATGAGACCAAAATAAGAGCGCACGCTGTTTTGTAAGAGCCTGAAAAATAGAGAAATTATTTTTGAAAAATCGTGTGAGAGCACTGTTTTGCTGTCACCTTGGGCAGACTGTAGATGTGTCCCTGGTAGATGAGCTGGTAGTGAGGGGGAGTGGTGCTGCTTTGGTGGATGCAGAAGAGGCTCTCCTTGGTAACATCTATCGAGATTTAACACAAAAAGGGACACATGGACAGAAACAGCATGAGCAAGACAGAAAGTAAATGCTGTGTGAAATCACAAGCCTTTTATTTTTTTCCTTCCTGTTTGACCTATGCGTGTGTGCCTGTGTGTCTACGTACCAGGTTTGTCTGGGGTGTGGCTGAAGTGCTGCGAAGTGAAAGTCTTCCCATCTGGGTACTTTGGGTGAGGGGGCAGTCTGGAGTCCAAGTATGTACAAAACATATGCATGAGGATCTAGAGGGACAGACACAGTATTAAGCAGAGGGATGTGGCCGGTGATCCCACACTGATGAGGAGAGCCACGAAGACTGTTACTGTTTTGTGTCTGCAGCACAGATCCTGCAGTCAGAAGACTCAAGAACGCCATGTCGAATTTCACATAATTGTTAGGTCTTCTGTAAACTGACACACTTGCATGTATTTGAGAAGTGGAACAAGCTGTCATCCTATATAGTCCCAACCTGAGGAGCCTGCTCTCTTACTAATATTGAATGAGGCTCTGTCTCACGTATAGATGATTGTAGATAAGAAAACTAAGAAACCATTCGGTGACAAGAATAAAACACAGCTGCAACAATAAAATATTTTTCTTTATAAAGTTTCTTTCTGTGCATTCGGTACAAAGCTCCATGAAAATACAAATCAAAGAGCCAAATGAATGGAGTGAGTTAGTGAGTCTAGTTAAGTTACTAGAGAGATAATTCTCCACCAGATCCACTCCATTATTTTTTGTCTTTTTTTAGCCGCGTTTCCACCAAACACTTCAGATATAATAACCTCAAGGCTCAGTCATACTCCCTTTACATACGTAACTACGAACTAAATATCTTCAGGGTTCGAAACTGAATGTCAGACAAAAAACAGACATTTAAAGACATGATATTTGATGTCTTTCAATGTCTGACGTTAAGTTTCGAACCCTCTGGAGTCATGTGATGTGGATTTTTAGGAAGGAGATATTTATTAATCCCTGAGGGGAAATTACTTTTTTTCCCACTCTGCTGTCATATACACACACACACAGAACCTATACATGCATTAAGTGGAGAGATGTTAAAGTGAGGGGGCTGCCAACGGACAGACAGCCCCAGCAGTTGGGGGTTCAGTGCCTTGCTGAGGGCAGTGCCCAGGAGGCAAACTGGCACCTCTCCAGCTACCAGCCCACACTCCATATTTGGTCCGGACAAAGACTTGAACCAGTGACCCTCCAGTTCCCAACCCAAGTCTCTATGGACTGAGATACTGGTGCCCCATGATTTGATGACAATCAAGAATATATTTAGTTGCACCAGTAGCTCAGTGTGCATGTGTCACTGTGTA